CCTACCCTGGGGGTCTCTAAGAGGAGACTGGATGAACACCTTGCCAGGGTCATTTGACCCCAGTACTCTTTCCTGCCATGGCAGGGGGTCGGACTTGATGATCTGCTCAGGTCCCTTCCAACCCTACCAACTATGAAACCTATACCCACCCTTCCATGCCCCCCGCCCCCCTACAATATACAAGAGTAAGACTTCATTTTAAGCTATTGCACAATCACCTCTATGTACACTACACAAATGCATGTAAATCAGAACAAAAATATTTTTTGAAATCAAACTCATGAATGTTGCAGACTTTTACTTTTTAGAATATAATTTGGTATTTTTCTGGTTCTAAGATGGCAAAACCCTTTGCTGAAAGGAGTACTTCCTGGGGCAAAGGAAGGGCCTTCTGGTGGCAGAGGTCAGGCATTAGGGGGTGGGACTTCCCATTACATAATGGCGACCGGGGGTGGGGCACCCGTCAAGGGGCAGAGCTGCTGATGCGGCCCTCAACAGCTTGCCTAAACTCGGTAAGCAACCCTCCACCCGAAGTAATTGCCCACCCTTTCTCTAGGCCCTTTAATTACCAGCATTGAGCCTGTGGCAGCATTCCCTCGGGGTAGATTGCAGGGAACCCATTTCTTGGGTTTGTGGAAGGTGGGATTTGGAGAAGTATTGCAAAGACTCTCGCAAGCACTAACATTTCTCCTCATTTCTCTTCCAGCTTCCGGGCCAGGAAATTTCTTTTTCCAGTTTGGCTAAAATAAAACCAATCCAAGCCCTACACATCTCTGATCTGCTTGTTTTAACCTCAGATATGGACATACGTAGATTCCTTCCTTCATCATGTCTCATTGTACTTAGAGCAGTTTCATTTTCTCAATTGGAGACCTCCGTTTTGTGTGCTTTGTGCGTGAAGAGGAAACCAGCTTGGGGGGGAGGGAAGGTTTGTGAATTTTGTTTTACTGTTAACTTTATTAAAAAAAAAAAAAAAGAAAAATAAAAGTTTTGAATCTTCTGGTCCCTCCATGCTGGCCCATATTTTCAGATTGTACCTACTCCCAGAGTGAGGGAACTTCCCTGAAGGTCATTCTCCTGGAAACCCAGCTTGTGTCTGGGAGGGAAGGGGGATGCCTTATGCTTTGTTTTTGGTTGGCTTCAGATGCAGGAGGGTAGCACACATGGGTTTCTAGTGACTTGTAATAGTTGACTCTTGACAATATTTTTGTGACATCCAGTCAAACTACATCCCATCTGCCATCTGTAATTGCACTTACCATGGTTGTACCAAAATGGTACATTTGGGCATTAAGTGAAATGACTAAGAAGAGTGTGATCTTAACACTTTCATACCAGAGAAAAATGCTTCTTCAGACTTGTGTGGGCAGCTGTTAAGAAAGCACTCCTTATGGTGCAGCTCAGATGCAAGGGCTCTGATGTTTCTACTCCACAAAATTGTCCGCTTTAACGGGATATTTAATTTGTTCTGTTTAAATTTCTTCCTGAAATTCCTGTTCTTGTGATTAATCCATTAGCATATGTACTGAAGCTTGATTTTGTTAGGTTTGGTTGGGTTCTATAATCCAAAGACACCCCCTCTATGATATTCATGTCATCTCTTCTCAGCTTTGAAAAAATGCCGAGGGTATTCAGGTTACTGATGGTTTAAAATACAGTTGTTAAGCATGCGCAGGGTGCATTGGAAACATGTCTGGAAAGTGATGTTTAGTTGCTAACTGAAATGACATATGCTGTGGTGTTGAAGTGACAGTAAAGAGTAACTTCCAAACCTAATGAAGCAAGACAATGCCAAGACAAAGCAGAATCTCTGAACTGATAGCTTATGACTTGCCCTACATGTCTCTAGGTCAGGACAGGAGATAGCTTCTACCTGAACTCATCACTATTTGGGGATGCCCCCTTTCTAACTCAGGATTGGCTTGTGCTTGTAGTGCTTTCTGACTTCTCATGATTGTTTTTTCTGCTTTACCACAACCTTGGTGTTGCACCAAGATGCTGGCTCAGGGAGGATCTCATGTGTTTGAAAACATGAGAATCCCAAGCTGTACCTTTTTGACATGGTAAAGAGTTGGCATAAATAGAATCATCTCCGTAAGTAGATACTCCACTCAGGTTAGATATCTCTGAAGTAGCTTTGGAGCTTTGTTCCATGACCTCTTTAACTGCTGGGATTTTTGATAGTCTCTAGTGCAGACATGGAGCTGGAGGGAGTTTGTTTGGGTAAAATCAGTAGATAACTGGTAGAATGCCGAGCAGCTCCAGTCGCAAAGTACAGTGTTCTGCTCCCGTAACTTGGTTCTAAATTACAATTGCCATGGTATAGTGATGGTTGAAAAGCTACTTTCTGATCGCCTGAGAACAGAGGCATGTATA